AATTTCCTTCGTACATGAACTTTTCCACTGAGTTTGCTTCTGCGACAAAAGGCCTATGATCGGCCTGCACCACCTCTGCTTCGCCCTTATCATTCCAAAAAACTAGGCATTGATGGAGCGATGAGGGTATACAGCGGCTTTCGTGTATCCAATCTCTTCCTAATAACACATTATAACTAGTGGGACTATCTATTACAAAGAAGATTGTGGTCCTAATAGTTGTTCTTATAGTTGTGTCCAATGGCATAACCCCTTTAGCTGAAGTTGCTCCTCCATTGAAATTTGTCAGGATGACTTCTGTTGGGATCATATCACCTTCTGTCTTTGCGAATTTCCTCATTGTCCTAGATGGAATGGTTTTTATAGCTTCTCCATTATCGACAAGCACTTTTGCCACAGGTATGCCGTTAACTAGAGTTTTAACGTACAATGGCCTCAAGTGTTCGGTCAATTTCATGGCTGGTCGCTTAAAAATAACCTTTTCGGCAGCATCTATTTTCACTTCCTGCTTGTTCTCTGTCGAGTTACCCTTTTGTGATAAGTCAACGTGCAGCATATCGCACTGAGCCTTTGTCTCCTGAATTTCCTTCTTATTGTTTTCTAATGCTTCTTCTTCAATTACCCAACCTATGGGAGGAGGCATTATTCTTGGAAGTGATCCATACTTTTCAGAGCGAGGCACTCTCTTCTTCCTTTTGGGCGTCTCGTACAGCACGTAATTATCGAAAGAACGCTCAGATGGTTCTCCCAATAAGTCTACTTCACGAACTCCCTCTCGATGTAGTTGCTTCAACAGAGTATTATACGATACTCCTCTTCTTCTTCTTTCTGCTTCCAGATCGATTTCCTCTTCGATGTCTGTCATACCATCATCTTCTTCACCATTGTAGGCCTCTCTAGAAGTTTGGCCTTCTTCATATTTCAGCGTGCATGCTTCCTCTTCGTTATCCTTTTTTTCTTCTTCTCCCTTCCCTTTATTCTTGAACTCATTGGCTAGTAAATAGTTATTAACCACGACAGGAGGTAACGTACCAAATTGAATAGTAAGGGGCTGATCTGGATCTTCTCCATCCCTTCTGTCTCGCTCAAACTTCGACCTCTCAGAAGAAGTCTCTGACAATTCTTTCATAGGTTCGCCTGTACCAGTCTCTTCACTGTCTTTGAGGACATTCTGATTGGCTGCCTCGAGTAGTCTAGGTGTCTTAGGACGCAGCATTCCCTGTTGTTGCCTCATCATTCGCCCATAGTTCCGTTGAAAACGCCTTTGTCGGGTTCTAGTCATCTCGTTGAAAGGTATCGCCCTTCCAACCTTATATTGGAACGAATGCTATACATTTGGTTGGCGAGGTTGCGGTCTGAATGTTTTCCCATTATTTACTGGCCTGAACTGTCTCTCAAAAGGCGGTCCCTTATAGAACGATGTACCCCGCCCTCTACCAGGCTGAGCGTTTGGAAAAAAACTAGGGCGATGGTGATACTGCCATATCCCTGATTTCTCTACATTTGCACTCACTTCTTTTTTGCATCTTGCACATAGGACGTCTTCGTCCTTTTTGAACTCCTTTCTTTTAATACGTTCAAAGACACTGGGATGTGGTCCAGGGTCTTCTTCTCCATCATCTATAACCAACTTGAATTTTGGCAACTTGTTTTTGAAACCAGACGTCACCATGTTTACTCCAAGTGGTTGTGAAAAAGGATTTTCATCCACTGCTATCTTTTTCTTATCCTCGAACGTAATTTGTCCTGATTCAATGGCATCCTGTAACACATGGCAAAAAACCAAACAGTTGTTAGTCAAATGTGACCATACATTATGTCACTTGCAATATTTTTTACCCTTAATTTGTTCAGGGCTTGGCAATTTATGCTTATTGCTCAACTTTATCTGCTTATCTTTATATAATTTATCAAATATAAGGTCAGCTTTGGTTACATCGAACAAGAACGTTCTAGCCTTTATGTTTTCATCTTTTATAAGCTCATCCTTACCCGACGGTCTAAGCTTAGCCATTATAAGACAAGTATATGTGTCTTCTTTAACTAATTCGGTCAAACACATTTCGATTTGATCGTAATACTCGTCATTAATGGTATGAACATCAAAATTTGGGTCTCTATAATAAGTCCCCTTGCTATAATTTTTTATTTGTTCTTCTTCTCTTATTAATCGTTCATACCTAATCACGTTCGCGCTCAATTGGAAAAGATCAGGAAATTTCTTGTCTTAAAACTTCTTTTTGAAATCAAAGCTTAGAAAACCTTGAGCGATTTTGATAAACTCCTTTTCGGGCAAAGGTACAAAACATTTACTTCTTGTTGTCTTGAACATTTGAAGGAAACATTCTGCTCATTCGTTTGGCATTTGACGTAGATTCGACAAATCGGTCAAAGTAACTTCAGACTCAGTCTAATAAAACTGAGCGTGGAACAATTGCTCCAATTGCTGCCATATTTGAACAGAGTTTGCTGGCAAATTGATGAACTAGGAGAAGGCTACTCCTGTTAATGAATTAGGGAATAGCCTCATTTTATGGTAATTAGTTACGTCACCACTTTGCAGTGTGAATCGCCCTATGTGTTCTAGAGTAGACACCTCTCCTAAACCGATAAACAGTGAGAATTCTGACACTTTATACCCTCTAGGCCATGGATATGCTTGGTCTACCCAATCAGGATATGACTTTGTGCAAGTCGACCTAATGACAGGACGTACTCCAAAAGCCATCTGGTCCTGTACAATTTCCATAATCTGAATCCTCAATATGACGTTGGGGTCATATGGAATTCCTACAGGTTGGTTGACCGGTTGATTTGCTTGAGGCCTAATATTTGGTTCTTGATTGACAACAAAGTTACCATGATTTGGGCCATTGTTGCCATTAGCCTGAACATTTATTCCATCATTAACACGTGGGGTATTCTGCCCATTATTTAGAATATTATCTCTTACATTTAGGTTACCCCCCAAGTTAGATGTACCAATGCCACTATTCTGATTTGGTATTACACTACCCCCTGGTTTGAAGTAGAGGGATCAAAAGGTAGTTCTACCCCTTGATTTAAACTTAGGACTGGGAGATTATGTCCCAAAATTGTCCTAGTTTGAAAGTGGTTTGCAAGAGGCACAACTGGCTGACAAATTTAGCCTACTAACTTATTCATTATTTCGTTCAAAATATTAAGTTGTTTGGCCATGTTGTCATAATGTGCATTCCCATTCTGGGTAAATCTTTCCATATTATGAATATTTCGTAGATTTACCTGTTCAACATCTTATGTGAGTTCTCTGAGTAATGCACGAATGGTTCGAGGACTCAACTCTTTCATTGGTTCGTAACGACTATGATTGCTCTGATTTTGTCCATCTGTTCGTGGAGAGCTATGCTGCTCCTTATATCGCTCGATCACAGACTGGACTCCTCCCTGACTTGCTGACTCCTTATCGGATTTCTGAGGCATATTGTTTCACCTTTTTTATCTTCAACACCAAACACTAAGGTCCCACTGGGCACGTCAAATTGTTTCGCGCAGGTAGTCGCTAACAATTAAAAAGGGATCAGACGATTGTATAAGGAACAAACCTCTTGAAACAAAATCTCAAAAATGGGTGTTTTATTGGCGATGACTTTACAATTGGAACTTAAACAGAATGCCTCCAAGAGGCGCAAGCACACGAGTACTGAAAAGAAATGTTTAAGTCTAAACTAAGAAATTGAAATTACATATTCTCTGTTTGAGAGTGTTTGATTCGGGGTCTTTTACTCTATATCTTTTCTTCCTTTTATATTCCCTTGATGATCTCTTCGTGATCAACCGCTTAGAAACTACTTAATTGCTTTATAACTGCCCACTTTCTTCATGGTGGCCAACTTATCGTGGAACTGCCGTCTCTAACTGCTGCCACTACTCTTTGTCGTTTAACCGTCTTCAACTGAACTCCTTGAATTGTAGAACGTGATAAGATTGCTCAATAACTGCTTCGATAACTGCACTTTTAGATAACCATAACATCTTATGTTTCCTAAGACCTGGGCAATTTGAAGGTTTGGGCGAAAACAGGGTTATAACTCTGGGCGACTGCAAGGCACTTCATTCGCTCAGATCTTGGGCGTCTTGCAAGTTTGTGCGATGGTGTTACCGCGTTCGTGGGCTTCCACTGCATTCATTAATAACCCTATTTGGGTCTTTATCCTGAATTGTCCAGTTGGGCTTTATTCTTTAGACTATTCGATTTGGACTGCACTTTTAGCGTGTCAACAGTAAGCACCACAGTGAAGAGGAAGATCTAGATTGTTCCATGCCGGTAAGCATTCTATCTCCCCGCGGTTTACAGTGAGATTTCTGAGCAAGAAATTCCTGCAACTTTCAGAAGAGCACAATATTAGGCAAATTTCTCAAGTCCCGTCAAGTCTGAATCCGAACAGAATTCCTTAGTACCTTATGAATTCCAATACGCTTACCGTCTATGATGTTCGGACTCGGGTACGGGTATCCGGTATCGGCACATATCTAGGTGTCGGATCTTTTATTTTCTAAAATATAAGATCCGGAAACATGGTTAAAAAGAGTCCAATTTTCGGACACGGGTACGTGGATATGTCTTTCAAGGTTCAATTTTTTTACTAATTCAAGAAGTCATTTTAAATAAATCAAAATCAATTATTCACAAAGAAGGAAATTGATATCGAATAAAGAGTTGAGACAAATAAAATAGAATTTGGGGTTTAGTTTTCAATTATAGACATTATTAAATGTTATATAAAATAGAAAATAAGGGACTTGATTATAATTTGGACTTAGTGGAGAACTAATTAGAAACGGGAAAGAAGAAAAGGAAAGGAAAGAAAAAAAAAGAAAGAAAGAAGAAAAGCAAAAACAACGAAGTGTCCGGTTAAAATTTGGAGGATCCGACACATATCTCATACCCATACCTATGTCGTGTCGTGTCCGACACTGGTACTCCAACTATTTCGAAAAGTCCGAGCATCAGAGCTTACCGTCATTGATTATCCAAAGTTTCCCACTTGAGTCCAAATGAAAATGAAAATGCAAAATAGTTTGTAATGAAACAACCAAGAAACCAATCTTGGTCTAGCTTGTAAGCATATGCAAGAGTGGAATAAAGTTTGGTAGAAGAATGGTGTCAGGATCAATCAACACAAAAACATCTGGTGATGATGCCAGAGACCTTGCCACCATCGAATGAAAAAACGGTGTACCTATAAACCTGAACAGAATGTCAAACAGGGAACAAGTTTATAGCAAATTGAAAATACTATTCCAAAATTGTTTAAGGTAATTGGAAAATCAGAAATTTGTCCACACCAAAGTTCTATCCATTTATCAGGTGGCCACTGGCCTAGCATTAGATCTTCGGAACCAAAATTAGATAAATCAAATCGAAGAACTATTTCTTGCATAGAAGTTCAATAGTAAACTCTCATTTTCCATTCATTAGGTGGTCCAACATTAGGTCTTTGGAATGGAAATCAGATAAATCAAATCAAATCAAAATGGTTCATTCATGCTTAGCTAGCTACAAACACACTTTCCAAATCAGCTATAAAGAACTGAATTTAGCAGCTTCCGTAGTGATTATGCACCTTAGAGATTCCGGTAATTGTTTAATCTAATCATTGTCTGTGTATGTCAAAAATGTAAACATTCTCAAAACACGTAACTCAATTACATTAGTTAACACTAAATTGCTCCCCAAAAACAGCATTACAAAACGATCAATAATCCAATATAAACATTGCTAATCCTTAACCGAAAACAATATTAGTCTCAACAGAGACCCGAGAACCGAATTCAACTGCAAAAGAGATAACAGAAGAATCCTGGGGTAAAAAGAACATTAACATTTCCGATAAACTGAGCCATGATTGAATGGCAAGAACCTGTCTTTCCCCAACAAAACCATCATAAGGCCTTGGTGCAGTAAATTTCCTGATCTTTTCTTCTTTCCCGTTTCTAATTCAAAATCAAAGCTTAGACAACCCAAATGGTGATTGTAGGACATTTTGAATCAACAAAACCACTTCTAAAATGGCTTGGTTATTAATCTGATTTTTAAAAGAAGAGGGCAGCAGCATTTGGGTGGCGTATAAGGAATCACCTATCAAGAAAAACCCACAAAACCAAACTAGCCATGGTACAGTTTGCATTGCCTGGAAATTTGAAAAATGGGATTCCTTGACAAATAAATAAATAAATAAAAATAAAAAAAGACGATGATTTAATGCAACCAGATTTAATTGTAATTTAAACACAGAAATGTAAAGAATTGGGCGAAATTCACCTTCTTTTAATAAAGATAACGGAAGAAAAGAGAATGTTGGGCTTTCACTTCGATCTTCTTTTTCTCTTATGGGATTATAATGTGAGAGAGAGTTTTCTGCATTTCAACGGGAAAAGGGGTTGAGAAGGGTGAAAAGGCCACCCCTCCACTTTTGGCCGCGAACACCGACGTGAAAAGCCCGGTGGCAAAGGAAGAAGCATGTGATCAGTCACAATTTTGAATTTTCACACTCGTCAATGGAAGTTTGTGCATTTAGCACTGCCATGATGCCTTAGATTAGAAATTTCAGATAACAAAACGAAAGCGGCAATTTTAAGGAAAATCAAATGATAAGTAATTTACCACGTTATCAATAAATTCAATAAGGTTGCGAAACATTAATGAACATTAATGAATTTGACAGAATACATGAAAAGCACAGGATTTTAGGATGGCAAAATATTGTCCCATTCCGATTTGTAGTCTTTTGAGCGTAATGGGGCCTTACCCACAGAATCATGCTACGTTGTTACTCAATGATTCACATACAATTTGATCAATAGTTACAATGAATTTGCTACAGGAATAGAGGGCTGACCGCGTCCTGACTGAACCCCACAAATAGGAGGGGAGGTCCATTTTTTGTGGGCCCCACCCCCATTTGTGGAGGGCTTCTGTCAGGAGGTGGTCAGCTTCCCTGTTACAAAAGCTTTCTCCTAGTTACAATGAGTCCACTTTTTTCTAATTATTTTATTCACACGGGATTCACTCGTGTATGTGAAAGAATGTAAACCAAAATGTAGCATACCAGCTAATATATACAAGAACATGGTCCTGCCTCAAATTCGTACATATATGTTTGGATTTTTGATTTTTTTTTATTTCAATTTAAATTGCAGTTAAAATGTAAATAAATGAGAAACTTTTAATAAAATTTTTAATTTCAACGGAGTCCTGAAAATTCTTGACGAAACATGACCGACCTTATTGCCACGTCTTCAAGATTTTAAGAGTCAAACTAAATACTTGAACAAAAAGAAACTGCGGGGTGTCTGCACATTCTAAAGTTGCTCCACTTACTAGAAAGATGTTCAGATTGTTATTCCAACTTAAAATCTATGCATTTGTTTAAAAGTATTTGTACAAAGTGTTTTTATAGATTTGGTTGACAAAATAGCTGTTGTCAAAATTCAGGTCATTAATTTTCAATAATTCAAAAATTTGCTGTTGAAATGATTGGTACATATATTACTTTATCAACCAACTTTATAAACTAATTTTTTACATATAACATAACTCTTGCTTAAAATGTATCAAAACTTATGTGTAAGAGCATTTTCAATGCATATAATGAATTGCAGTTTAATGGAGATAAATAGAAAGATTTATAGTTCACGTGACATTAATATTTGTTAAATAGACTATAATATTTAAATTTCATCCATGATATATTTTATACGATACAAGAAAAATGAGAGAGAGTTTAATTTGTTGATTCACTTTGTTTGACCAATGCTTCTACATATAGACGAACATATTTACATTGTTTATTTGTTCTTACTACATCAATTAGACAGTGTCCCACTTAATTTACTTTGAAGAGCAATTTTTGCAAACATTTTTGCTTACATGAATACAAACCACATTAAAATTAGATATGTACCGAGCGAGTAAAGTGGATTGGATAGCCCAGTTTAGCCGAGTTATGCTACACTTATAAATGAGGTTAGTAAAGTTGGATGACAAAATCACATTCACACTAATTATTTCAAAATTAGATTTTTAAATCATTTAAAATTAATGGTCTGAATTTTGTCAATACACTTTGTAACCCTACTTTGTACAGGTAGCTTTATTGGGTTTAGCCCGTCGTGAAGTCAGACTTCAATCTTACCATGGGCAGGTTATAGAAAATTAAAAGAGGTTATCAAATCGATCATAATAGACCATTGTCCTCCGTTGGCAGTTTGCTAAACAATGGCCGTCGGTTGCCTCGAGTGACTACTTTCATCAAATACCACTTTCTGCAAAATTCCACACGTGTTTATAAAATTAAGGATGAAATTTTGTTTACTGACCTTTAATTCTCAAAAGGTGGCGGCAGAATTCTGTTATCACTTATTTCAACTCAAAATAAGTTGATTTTGTTATCTATTATTTGTAGAAAGGACCAATTGTTTTAAAGACTTCTAACCAAACGAAGACTGTGCTGGAATTTATAAAAGGGAATGCTAAGATCAGAATTAACCGTATTTTATGCTCAAAACTAATTCCTTTAGTTTTTAAATAGAGAAAATTTTAAACGTTGAATTTTTATCCTATTTTTTCATTTTCCGTCATAAAGAGAAATTGAGCCAAGAGAATTTTGTTCAAAGAATAATGCTGGAAGAGTTTGTATTAAATTTCAAAATGAACACTTTGACTGTAAATGTGAAATATTTAAACATAATTACATTGACAGAAATTAAAAATAAACAATCCCATGAAATCTAGTTGGTTTTGGTATGACAGCCAAGATGATTTTCGTTAGATAGCTCGCTTGATATCAGAGAATCCCTCATAAGTTGGAGTTTGTTGGGTCTGTACGACAAATTTCGTGTATTAAGATACAGAAATCGATACAAATTGTATTTTTTGAGAAATACGAGTAATGTTGACATTTTTATAATTGCAAAAAATCCTTTGATTAGTGATCTGAATATTTGAAGATAAGGGGCCATGTGGCTTGAATCTTAGTTTTCGAAAATTTGTTGAAAATTTGATTTGTTTGGCACTTGAACTTGAATTTGATTTAATTTAAAGAAAACTTTGAACTTCTTAAACTTGACGTGAACTTGTTTGATTCGAAGAAAATTTTGATCTTCTTGGGATTCACCGGATTTGGATTTGAGAGAATTTCTTCCCTTCCTTTGACTTTGAAATTTTTTCAGCACTTCGTGATTGCCTTCTATGCTTTCACTTCTTGCTTTTGCTTTGCTTTCAGTTCTTCCTTTTTTTGGACCATTTGGTCCTATTTATAAGGAAAAATTCGTGCTAATTCTGATAATATTCAATTATATTTAATTAAAATAAATAATTGAGTAATTATATTTTATTTATTTATTTAAAAAGTGAGATGGGTCTTTGGGTTTATGGACCTTAGTAGACTTTAGTTTAATTGAGCTAATGATTTAAATCGATCAAATCCATTTTCTTTATTTCTTTATTTTTTTATGTCTACAAGGTCATCATGTTGATTTTCCTTATCTGAAGGCTCAAGTGGATTATCAATTTGGTTTGAATTTGTTACCTTTGGATCTCCAGGATCACTCAACTTTTCTCCACTGATTGATGCTACATCTTGGGAGTCTTCACCCTTTTTTCTCCAAGGATTTCAAGCGTCCCTATTTCTCCATAGGCTGAGCTGTGATATGTTGCTAATACGTCAAACAATCAAATCCTTGAATAAAGTAATTAAGTTGACAACAAATACATAGGAATGCATAAAAACAAGCTACGTTGAACATATATCTTCAAGTGAATGTTACCATCAAAACTTCAAAATCTATCTGTGTTACTTGTCATATGTAGGAGGACAAAAATAAAACTCACTATGGGCCCGTTTGTGACGTTGACGTTTTGATTAAAAAAAGTAGCTTGTAGCAACTTTTCACTTGAATAGTATTTTTAAATGTACAATTCTTTACAGTATTTTTCAATTCACATATTTCTTACGCATAAATATCAGACTTCCCTTATGATTTCTACTTAGAATCCATACAGCAGTTCAAAATTTGCATGTAACTTAGGTTTTTAAGTGAATTGGACAATCCGGCCCAGTCCTTCCTCAAATTGCATTAAGACTTGAAAGTTTTCATTTGCCTCCTGTTAAGTTCTCTACATCCTTCTTTACTTTATGATCGTCTCCTCCCCATTGTTTGATTCTTTTGGTGGCAACAGAAACCTGCGTCGTGATTCAAAGAAGATCAGAATTTACACAATTGATCTCAAATTTATTACTATATTAAAAAAAAAAAAGTGCTTTGTTAATTGCAATTTGTTTTTTAAATTATCTTTTCTTTTCTTTTTCTTTTTTATTTAAATAGGAGGGTGTATTTGTGATTTTATACTTTTTTTTTTTATTGAGAATGAAAGATGAAAATATGGGTGATCCAAAAAATGAAAGGTATGAACGTTTTCCAAAATAATGTTGAGAGGTAACGACATTTTGTGCTAATTACCCATACTTTTAATATGAATCCATTTCCAGAAAGAAGCCCTCAAAGTGATGATGACATTGAAATATTTTCGTTGTAGTACAATAAAATCACAATCAAACTTTTTTATTTGTTAAAAATAATTAGAGAGGAGATCTAATGTAATATCAATTTCAAAAAGAGAACGAATAATGATTGTATAATTTACATCTTAATATGAATCCATTTCCAAAAAGAAGCCCTCAAAGTGATGATGACATTGATTATTTTTGTTGTAGTACAATAAAATCACAATGGAACTTTTTTATTTGTTAAAAATAATTAGAGAAGAGATCTAATGTAATATCGATTTTAAAAAGAGAATGAATAATGATTGTATAATTTACATATCATGTTCATCATTATTCATCATATGAAAAATTTACATGCAAAATTGGCCGAGATCACTTACTCTTTTAAAAAATTTCATAGTTTTACCTTGAAAACTTCGTGGTTGTATAATAACTTCGTTTTTGGTTAATGAAGATGTTTTGTTAGATGCTCTATTTTCATTTTTCATTGAGGTCGAATCTAAATTTATGATTTTGCAACTCAATTATAAAATGAAGGAATCATAAAAAAATTTGATTATGACACTTTGAGCTTTGCTCCAATTGAGAAATTAAAAGAAGGAACTAAACGCATTTCAATTAGTATTTGTATAATTGTATCCTTTCTTTATTTTTTGGACCCCTTGCTTCTTCTAACCCTTGTCACAGACAAATAACAGATAAAAAAACCAAGATTAGTTGGTTTAAATTTTTCTTTAGTTTAGGCCTACCAAAGAAGCGAACTAAAAAAATTCATTTAAGTGTTCTTAAGGAAAAATACTTATTTTATTGTTCTCCTTTTTTACGTCGGGTAGGATAGTGATTATTCTATTAACTTATTGTAGCAGATGATTCGCAAGAAAAGAACGACAAAAAAGGCCCAAAAAATCAGAGAAAATACTCTGAATTCAACTCAATATTATTAATAATGCCGAATGATCAAAACTAATCCACAAGCCGGGTTAAATAGTTGCGAAATACGAAATTATGGGAAAATTACCAAAAATGGCAAAATCCCAAAATTATAGCAAAATAAAATATTAAGTAAAAGAAGTAAGTTGCCAAAAATTTGGCTCAATTCGAGTTTTCTAACATATGGAAAAAGGAAACGAAATATTACCATAAATAGTAAAAAATAACTTAAAATTGAATTTTGGAAAGGAAAACAGTGAATTTTGGGCTTGAAATTGACGTCCACGGTGGCCATGACGTGCGCGCCAAAGAGAGCTTTCCGAATTGAAGTCATAATAGCGATTCCGATAACCGTAGCCAAAGTTATGG